ATTAACAGCGTACAAAGTGTAAACAGAAACTTCCACTGGATAGCTCTTAAATTAGCAACAATTAACAGATCATACCTTAGTAGTGTCAGGGAAAAACACGGATTCAATTTGCAGGTTCAACTAAATTATTTCAATCTCAAAAAACAAAACTCGGCTGGGACTGAAGACCAGAAGCCGTAATTCAGGGCAGAGATTAGAGACAGGATGAGGGGAACAATCTAAACGAGCCTCCAGTCACTCCACTAGGCAGAGAGGGTAAGGCGTAGGGAGATAAGCGCACACAATCCCAGCATCAATGCTGACGCACCGTTAGAGTGGAGAGGGAACTGTGCAGAGTCCAAGCTTCAGTGCAGAGAGTTCCTTGTTGAATGCACTGAGAGGGGCAGCAGAGGAGAAGCCGCAAAGCGCAGTTCTGGTAATGCCAGGGCAGGAACTGGGGAACAGAAATCTGGTGAAACGAGAGGCAGAGAGCGAGCAAAAAAGACAAACTGAAAACACTAAACTGTACTTAAAGCATATCAAAACACAACAAGACTGGTAGTAAGTCACGACCGCCGTGTAGCGTGTTCACACCACAACAGTCAGACACAAGACTACCCATGAGGGGAACTTAAAAAGAGGGAGAATTAAGGAATTAACAAGTCACAGGTGTGACGGCAGCTAAAGTAGTTAATAAGATAACGATGGGGAGGGAAACCACGAAGACAATGAGCACATGGCATGTCAAAACAAAGACAAAAACAACAACAACCTGCTGATCAGACCGAAGTCATGACAAGTAGTCTTAAAAGTGCAGTTCAAACTCCTTACTAGCAACAGCTGCTAGATCAACAACTACAGCACGTACACTACAGCTACTACTCACTCTGATAAACAAATGCTTCTCTTCTTTTTCCTATTTCCTTCAGCAATTCTGCTTGTGGTTAATAAGAAGAATCACTGAAGGAAAGAGGAACAAGAGAGAAAAAAAAGATCATGTGATGCTACTGAGTGGACGCAGAGATCCAAGCTCCTAAACTTTTTTTTTTAAATTTTACTCTAGAAGAAGAAGAAGAAACTTTATTGTCATTCTAATAATACAACGAAATTAGTTTGGTAGCTTTTAGAGACCAGCAGCATAACAGCAAAACAACACTAAATACATTTACACTCAACGTATGACTACCTGACGCTTGCTTTCAGTGTTGGGTATGGATCGCCATTCTAAACTTAAAGGGGTCCTATTATGCTTTTTCACTTTTTCAACTTTAGTTAGTCTGTAATGTTGCTGTTTGAGCATAAAAAGATATGCAAAGTTACAAAGCTCAAAGTCCAATTCAAAAGGAGATATTTTATTTAACAGAAATCACTTTTCAAAAAGTACAACAAACGACTCGTTTGGACTACAATGCATATTTTCCAGGATTTGTGATATCACAAAGATTGACGAATGGGACGAGACCTGGTTGAGCTGCACTAGAGAAGGCAACGAGTGTTATCACTGTCGGAGACACGCTAGCTTTCCCAAGACAGACGAACTTAGAGTGGTTACAATCATCCGGGTTTAAATCGCGCTCTAATTGATTTGATTTTGATGTAATATTTACACTGAAGCTCGCAGGCAGCTATGGTAAGGGGCGTGACATTTCCCGTCCAGGCGCAGAGTAGTGCCAATCACAACACACACTGGCCCAGCTAACCAATCACAGCACATTTCGTATTTCAGAAGGCAGGCCTTTATTTGATACAGGAACTATTCGAGCCATTCATGCCAGACTGGGGAGAGAGGTGTTGTAATAATGTAAAATATGTGAAAAATTATGTGTTTTTCGAACAACCTAGTATGAGAGCCTGTTCTAGTACACCACCAAAACAAAATCAAAATCACTTCGTAAAAGTGCATAATAGGACCCCTTTAAGAAAGATCTTCCAAAACCACCAAGTTCATTGGGGGTGATGCAACAAAATATGGTGTCCGACTTAATGTGCTAAATAAAGCCGAGCTGGACAAGGATAGCCATAGCCAAACAGATATACCCACGGTTATTCTCAAAGAAACTCAGGAAGGCAGAAATATTTATGTCTACTGACATGAGTCTGGATGTTGCAAAATGGCATAAACGAATGGTTACAGCCAAAATCCCCTGCTACTTGCTCCACCCTGCTCACCTAAAGATTCAAACTGAGAACAGGAAAGTCTGCTTTCGTGACACTCATGGAGATAAACCTTGAAATACTTCTTGAGCTATATTCACGGTAAAATCCCCTCACAGTGTTCATGTGTCGACCTTAGAGTGTTAAAAGTAACTGATGATCCAACGATAGCTGCTCGCATCTCAACATGTCTAACAGACATTTCTTGTTGGATGAAGGACCATCACCTTCAACTCAACCTGGCTAAGACAGAACTGCTTGTGGTTTCAACAAACCCATCACTTTATCAAAATTTCACCATCCAGTTAGGCTCATCAACCATAACTCCTTCAAAAACAGCTAGAAACCTTGGAGTTGTGATTGATGATAAGCTGAATTTCTCAGACCACATTGCTAAAACTGCCCAGTCCTGCAGATTTGCTTTATACAACATTAGGAAGATCAGGCCCTTTCTTTCAGAACATGCAACACAACTCCTTGTTCAAGCTCTTGTTCTGTCCAGGCTGGACTATTGCAATGCTCTCTTGGCAGGTCTTCCAGCCACTTCTATCAAACCTCTACAATTAATCCAAAATGCCGCTGCAAGATTAATCTTTAATGAGCCGAAAAGAACGCATGTCACACCTCATCAAAATGTTCATCAATTTGCACTGGCTACCAGTAGCTGCTCGCATTAAATTCAAGGCATTAATGTTTGCCTACAAAACCACCACTGGCTCTGCACCCTTATTTGATACAGGAACTATTCGAGCCATTCATGCCAGACTGGGGAGAGAGGTGTTGTAATAATGTAAAATATGTGAAAAATTATGTGTTTTTCGAACAACCTAGTATGAGAGCCTGTTCTAGTACACCACCAAAACAAAATCAAAATCACTTCGTAAAAGTGCATAATAGGACCCCTTTAAGAAAGATCTTCCAAAACCACCAAGTTCATTGGGGGTGATGCAACAAAATATGGTGTCCGACTTAATGTGCTAAATAAAGCCGAGCTGGACAAGGATAGCCATAGCCAAACAGATATACCCACGGTTATTCTCAAAGAAACTCAGGAAGGCAGAAATATTTATGTCTACTGACATGAGTCTGGATGTTGCAAAATGGCATAAACGAATGGTTACAGCCAAAATCCCCTGCTACTTGCTCCACCCTGCTCACCTAAAGATTCAAACTGAGAACAGGAAAGTCTGCTTTCGTGACACTCATGGAGATAAACCTTGAAATACTTCTTGAGCTATATTCACGGTAAAATCCCCTCACAGTGTTCATGTGTCGACCTTAGAGTGTTAAAAGTAACTGATGATCCAACGATAGCTGCTCGCATCTCAACATGTCTAACAGACATTTCTTGTTGGATGAAGGACCATCACCTTCAACTCAACCTGGCTAAGACAGAACTGCTTGTGGTTTCAACAAACCCATCACTTTATCAAAATTTCACCATCCAGTGCACGCACTGTAGATGGTAATGGCGGCGCTTTGAATACAGCCGGCATACTAGTTTTCCTCATCTACTTTGCACTTTGTGATCAACAAACAAGGGCTGCACGATAAATCGCATGTGATTGTCATGCGCATCTTGTCAGTAAAGCCAATTCTGTGATTAATAGTACCGTTAAATCTCCATCACGTACTTTCAGATGGAGCGGCATTTAATACACAGAGCTGCAGATCACTGACAAGCTACGCAATATCGCATTCATTAGATGAATCGCATTCGATTATGAACACGATATTGCGTAACTTGTCAGTATTAGTGTTTTTATTAATTTTATTAATGTTTTTGTCAATACAGCATAGAGCACTTGTCAACTAAAGGAATGTAACATGGCAAAGATGAATGCACTTTTGGAAGTTGAATGTAAGAGAAATGGCATTTTGGAATGTCTGTGGTCTAATGTGATATTGTTGTTCATGTTGAAATTTTCTTTTATTGTTGTAATTAATTTATAGCAAACAAAATGACCCGTTGAATTCATTTTGGGAGCGATGAATGTATTTTTTGTCCAGTGCCTAGTATTAGTATTGACCAAGTTCAGAGGCTGTCATATGTGGATCAACTTACTATGTTGTGTATTTTCATCAATTTCAATCTGAAAAATAACTTTCATATCGATTCAATGGATTTATTGCATTTTGGGGGGAAAAGGTATCATGGATTTATTGCATTTTGTGGAAAAAAATTATACAATTTTATAATAAATCTTTGAAAATCAAAATCTGGATTTGAATTTTTAATGTTATTATAACCTAAAGATGCTATGTGAAAGTTTGAAACAGAAAATAGTGGTTTTCATCTTGCCAGTTTCTTGGTAAAGAAAACAAATTTTTACTCAAATTAATCAAAATGGATTTATAGCGTTTTGGAACCAAACTCTTCATGGGGGGGGGGGCGGATAAACAAAATTTGAAGAGATGGGTGTCTGTGACCCATTAAAAATACCACAACTGTTAATTCACGCTAACTTAAAAACTTGCGTACACACGCTGAGACCTGACGTGAGATTTGATCGTAGTCACTGCTCATGTCCATATCGATAAATAAGCTTTACATGATAATGACCATATGCCCAATTGTCTGTCATTCGTTCATTTTGTAAATGAGGGCCACTCTCGGTTTAAATCTAGGATAAAGATGCATCTCTTCAGGCAAGTATCCACATTACGCATCTTATACTGTAACCTTGTACTCCAGGTATATCTGATTAAATATGGACATTTACTCTTAATTGTAATGCAGAAACATTCATTTTCTGCAAAGCTGCTTCGCAACAATGCGTATCATGAAAAGTGCTATACAAATAAACATGAATTGAATTGAATATGAAAGTAAAGAATCTCTGACTCTGACATGAATGAATACTCACAGAGCTTTTCTGTAGTTCATCACAGCTGGTATCAGCCTCCGTCTACCCTCATCCGTTGTGTTGTATTTCATGGGCTCAAACTCGTCTAGCACCTCTTCTGACATCTGAAGCATGTAGGCTATTGCTGAGCAATGTGCAGCAGAGAGTTTATTATCTGAGAGTTTGTCTGATTCCAGAAACACCTGGATCTCTCTATATAATGTCTGATCATTCACTTCCAGTAGACAGAGAAACAGGTTGATGGATCTGTCAGCTGAAAGATGATTATAACAATCATTTAACGGAAGGATTGATCTGTCAGCTGATAAGTAAAATCTCTTGATCCTGTCTTTAATGTACTGTGTGGTTTCTCTGATGGTCTCTGAGCTGTTCTCGGTTTGTGTCAGTAGATCCTCTAAGAGTCTCTGATTGGACTCCAGTGAAATGCCCAGCAGAAACCGCAGAAAAAGATCCAGGTGTCCATTTTCAATCCGAAGGGTTTGATCAACTGCTGATGTTAATACCTCATACAAAGAGTTTTTCTTAGATGTGTAACTTTCATGTTTGTCATACAAAAACTCTAAGTTCTTCATCAGGTGACAGTAAAACACGTAAAAAGCAGCAAGAAACTCCTGAAAGCTCAAATGTATGAAGCAGTACACTTTCCTCTGATGAATCACAGATTCCTCTTTAAAGATCTCAGTGCAAATCCCAGAATACACTGAGGCATCAGTGATGTCTATGCCGCTCTCTCTCAGGTCCTCCTCATAAAACATCACATTGCCCTTCATCAGCTGTTTGAAAGCCAGTTCAACAAGTTTCACAATCACTTCTCTGTTGGACTGCAGGAGTGTCTCTCTATCTCTCTCTTCATACTTCTGATTCTTCGTGTTGATCTGAATCAGCAGGAAGTGGATGTACATTTCAGTCAGAGTTTGAGGGATTTCTGCACTCAGATCTTCTTTTAGGAGCTTTTGAAGCACAGTGGATGAGATCCAGCAGAAGACGGGGATGTGGCACATGATGTGGAGGCTTCTTGCTCTTCTGATGTGTGAGATGATTCTGCTGGCTTGATGCTCGTCACTGATTCTCTTCCTGAAATATTCCTCCTTCTGAGGCTCATTGAATCCCTGAATTTCTGTCAGACGGTTGATGTATTCAGAGGGGATCTGATTGGCTGCTGCTGGTCTGGAGGTGATCCAGATGAGAGCAGAGGGAAGCAGCTTTCCTTTCATGAGGTTTGATATCAACACACCCACTGATGAAATGTCTGTCACATCAGAAACTTTCTGAGCATCTGAAAACATCAGTGTGATTCTGCTTTCATCCAGACCATCAAAGATGAACACAGCTCTACACTCCTCATAAATCGTTGAGTCCAGATCTTGAAGTTCAGGATGAAAGTCCAGCAGAAGTTTGTGAAGACTGTACTGATGATCTTTAATCAAGTTCAGTTCTCGAAATGGAAGCACAAACATAAAATCTACATCCTGATTGGCTTTTCCCTCGGCCCAGTCTAAAATGAATTTTTGCACAGAGACAGTTTTTCCAATTCCAGCCATGCCTTTAGTAAGAACAGACTTGATTCGGTCTTTGTCCTCACATCCTGGTTCAGGTGAGGCTTTAAAGATGTCATTGCAGTAGATTGGAATGTCTTGTGAGTGTTGTTTTCTGGCTGTTTTCTCCATTTGAAAAACCTCGTGTTCTTCATTCACCCTTTGTCTCCCTCCCTCTATGATGTAGAGCTGTGTGTAGATCCTGTTCAGCAGGGTTTGATGTAGGTTGATTCCCTCAAATAAGCTCTCATATTTGTTCTTCATGCTGGTTTTATGTTGGTCTTTGATTCTCTGTAGTTCATAATCTACTGGGTGGTGAGAATCCTGCTGCGGGTCTCCAGTCTGATCATATCTATCCACACAGCAGAAACAAGAACAACAACACAAAGAATGAATGAGTATGAGCGGCAAGATCTTCTAATAAAGCCACATGTTTACAGGACCAGATAAATTTTATACAGAAACTATACCAGATAAGCTAGAACCAGCTTTACTTTTAAAATTACATTTACACCTGTTTCACACTGCAAGCTTGAGCTTCACGTCAGCTTCACATCAGCGTAACTACGTAGTCACTGCAGCTGCAGATTATAATGTATATGTATGTGAAATACTCTTCTCTGGAGTTCATTTCTTTAGCAATTTAACAAGCTGTGAACACTGAATGGTAGTCAGGTAGTCAACACATTCAGGCCAATTGTACCTGAGTGTTGGGTCACTCGGCTGTGTTCTGGCAGCAGCTCACCAAAAGTGAACCAGCTCTGGCTCAGTAAAGGTAGCCAGATTTCGCTAGGCTTTGGATGTGTGGATTTGGTCCTATTTGAGGTGCCCAAACCTGCTTCTGGAGGGCCGTTATCCTGCAGAGTTTAGATCCAACCTGCTCCAACATATTTGCCTCAAAGTTTCTAGTGTGTCTGAAGACCTTGATTACTTTGGTTCAGATGTGTTTAATTAGGGTTGGAGCTAAACTCTGCACTCCAGGAGCAGGTTTGGGCACCCCTGCCATCAGGGCAGGACTTAGGGGGGCTGGGGCCCCTGGGCTTGAGGTTATATCTGGGCCCTATACCTACAATACAAATGCCTTAAAATAGAACATTATTATGGAGTAACACAAAATACACAAAAATATGCTTTGAGGTTCATTGTGACGAGTGGGGGCGGGGCTGAGAGCCATGGGAATGGAGCGAGGCCGGTGGAGTAATTGATAATGAGCGACACCTGCACCACTCACCGGTCTCGAGTCCCACGGAGGAGCTCCGGAAGCATAAAAGGAGTAGTTACGACAGTGAAAGAGGAGAGAGGACCAGGCCTGGATTTTATTTGTGTTTTGGTTCTGTTTGTGCGCGACAGTCGTCCACGATGGGCTGTCGTGCTATTTTGTGTTTATTTTATTATTAAAGTTTTTGTTTGAACGTTCGTCGGTTCCCGCCTCCTTCTTCCCGATCTACAAACTGTGTTACATTCATAAATAGTACAATTAATATGCAACATGTCTAGGCTATAGTCAAAGTTTAAATGTAATATTAAATATTCATTATAATATAATAAACAGGATGTGTTCTCTCAGTTGAGAGATCAAAACCCTGTAATAACTTTTGACTTTTTTTTTTTGCTCAGAGATGTTGGCTTATTAGTAATATAAAAGTTATTGTCTTTTCTGTTTTCTCTTATGTCAGGTTCTTATTTAATCAATAAATTCCATGGAATAAAAAGAGATGCTGGCTATTAACAATCAAATGAAATCACTATCAACAAAATTCATAGATGGATTGTGCCTAAATGTTAAGTTTAAATATAACATTTTAATGTAGAAATATTAAATCATCGCAAAAATGAAATAAGCTAAATTTTTTAAACATGAAACTTAATGAGTCTTAAGTCTTAATGAGTGAGTTAAATCAACCGATTCGTTTAAAAAGCTGATTCATTTGAATTATTTGCTGGTCTGTGTAACGCTGAGGAACAAAACTGCTGTTCGGAGATGGAGCGGTTCTGCTGTTTGTTCTATTTTCTTTCTGACGGAACAAAATGGAATTTTGTGTCTGAAAGTTACTCTGTAAGTTGTTGTTTATTGTACATTTGCGATCGTGCAAATATTTGGAAAAAAAACAGGACTCTTGTTTGTGTGATAGGCTAAGTCCTATATCATAGGCATAGCTATGTTATATAAACAGAAACTCATTAAATTACTAATTTTTTTTTTTAATCATTTTGATGACATTTCTTCCCCACTATGTGTAATTGCAGTAAGACGAGAGAGAGCACTCAAAACTCATCAGATGATCGCATAATTTAGTGGAACATTAATACAGTAATATAGAATCATCCTCTGTAAAGAAATGAGGTTTGAACATTTGAGAATTTATTATTATCTTTCTAAATGTGTGGTCTTTGGGGCTAAAGGCTTAATGGAGCTGTTTAAAGTAGCCACATTATAACAAATTCAATACGCGTGTCCTTCTATGTGAAATAATCATAAATACCAGTTTATGTTGTTTGATTGTGGCCTCGAAGGTCGTAGTTGTAAGCTGTAACCCCGGCTGGCCCGTCTAGATCTTGCGTGCGCAGTGGAAATGCGGCTAATAATTCCTGAATTCTGACTGCCATATAATGAACAAATCAATCAAACGTAAACGGGCAAAGGTGGGGTCCCCTACAAGGCGGGGCCCATGGGCTGCAGCCCACTCAAGCCCAATGGTAAGTCCGGCCATGCCCACAACAGACCAATAAAGATGTAAAGAGTGCATGAAGTTGCTGGAGTCCATTCTGTCTGCTTTCATGCAATTATACAGGAGCACGGATGAATCATTCATGGATATTATGTCAGCAGACGAAAACGGCGGATGGCAACGGAGGAGAACAAACGAGCGCGGTGTTCCTCTGTTTGTCCAGATGCATTAACCTCAGGAGACCTCGACGGGAGGATGATCTCACCGCGGCGGCGGCGGCGGGGCGGGAAGAGCACTGAAATGTTGAGGTGACCTTCGAGGTTTACGAGCCAGCGGCCGCGGCGTTTGCTAAGTGCTTCGCTCCGTATCATCCGTCTATCCGTCTCCTACTGACCCAGTGTCCAACTGAGCTTTAGCATGAGTCACAGACACATTAAACGCTGACGCCGGGCTGTCATCGCGTCACCGTTTCAACACATTCACTCTCTGAAGGCTGTGGAACCAGCGCTTAAAGGGTTAGTTCACCCAAAAATGAAATTAGCTCATAAATTACTCACCCTCAAGTCATCCTAGGTGTATATGACTTTCTTCTTTCAGACGAATCCAGTCGGAGTTATATTAAAAATAGTCTTTGATCTTTAAAGCGGTTTAATGGCACTCAGCGGGTGTTGCATGCATCAGTCCAACAGAAGTTAAATAAAAAGCGTCCATCCATATAAAACCCGTCTCACACGGCTCCGGGGGGTGAACAAAGGCCTCCTGTAGCGAATCGATGCGATTTTGTTAGAAAAATATCCATATTCTAAACGTAATAATCACTTTAATGTAGCTTGAGCCAGCAGTTGTACACAGAAGCAGCTCTGGTGATTGTGGCCTCGAAGGTCGTAGTTGTAAGCTGTAACCCCGGCTGGCCCGTCTAGATCTTGCGTGCGCAGTGGAAATGCGGCTAATAATTCCTGAATTCTGACTGCCATATAATGAACAAATCAATCAAACGTAAACGGGCAAAGGTGGGGTCCCCTACAAGGCGGGGCCCATGGGCTGCAGCCCACTCAAGCCCAAATGGTAAGTCCGGCCATGCCTGCCATACACGAATGTAATATATGCACATATATGAAATATCAGTATATAAAATATATGCTCATACAGTAAAAACAAAAATGTACATATATGAACAGCCATATACGAAACCTATTAGAAATTGGAACAATTTCATATATTGACATAAACATATATATATATATTATATGATATAAATGTATAAATACGTTTGTATAATACATATTTTGACATATATGTCTCTTATTATTTTATTTCACATAAGGGACAGTATGATTGAATTTCAGCCCAAATTACATTTCTATTCAGAGGACTATGTCATTGGGCCGGTGGATACTGTTAGCGTAGAGGCTATCGCTCTTAAGTTATGGAGCGGCATGTGGGAGGAAAAGAGACAGAAGAGCCGACACTTTGGTTTGATAGTAACTAACAAATGGAGCGGCATTTAATACACAGAGCCGTAGTTCACTGACAAGCTAGGCAATATCACGTTCATTATCACCGGCAATTCATCTGAGATTATGAGCACAAATTGCATAGCTTGTCAGTGAACTACGGCTCTGTGTATTAAATGCCGCTCCATTTGAAAGCAGGTGATGGAGATTTACGACTAATCACAGAACCGGCTTTACTGACGAGATACGCATGAAAATCGCATGCAATATATTAGTGCTGGGCAATGATTAAACTTTTTGATCGCGATTAATCGCACGATTTTCTGTGATTAATCGCATTGTTATGCGCACAATTCAATAATGAATTCAAAAGTAGTATTGTGCACTTTTTTCATTTAAAAGTACTGCTATATGAACAAGAATGTACTTTAAACAAATAAGGTGCTTTTTTTACAGCAGTATTCCTTACTCCTTACATAGTAGCAGTTAAAATATTTCTTGTAAATCTCAACTTATAACATTAATATAATCAAATTAAATATAAAACCAAAGCTATTTGCCACACTGCCAAATACCCCTCTGTACAGTTTATTTTTCTATCTGACTAATGAGTTTATGGTCACCGAAAATTTTTGATTCTGAGGTAAATGTGATGTTACGTGACATTGTTTACAACTCTGTATATTGATGTCTTTGCGTGGCTGAAACACTGATTGAGCGATTACATGAGACAGGATACAGATTGTAAAGTTGTACTCTTTCTTTTAACTTACCTTTGGACGTTTACTCATGTTTATTTTGTGCCGAAGCTGGTATTAATGTGGAGGAGATGATCAGGTCACGTGTGCCTCGCGCTGCCGCGTCTGTTGAACTGAGGCGCTACAGCAATCTGTCACTCCACATTAAACAGCGCCAAAACGGCATTTATTGTTTGAATACTGCAATACAATAGACATAAATTGAAACCTGGGACTTTGTTTCATATTAAAAGCACCAAAGCACAATGCTTATTGCGATATATTGGATGGGAAGTGTCCTTCAATGTTCCATCCATTAACTGAAAACAGACTACCAGACTAATCGATTCATGGGATTTAAGAATCAATATCGTTCCGTAAAAAAGAGAATCAATTAATATCGAGATATCAATATTTTTTACCCAGCCCTACTGTCAACATATGTATTTGCATACCTCTGCGCACACAGTTCGCGCAGACAGAATACGTCAT